TTTGAAAAATTCCTTATTTAAGGAATACTTATTTAAAAAAAGGATTTGGATAATGAGTACTTGCATACTCCTAAAATCTGGGACCTGCTATAACCTTCCAAAAATGTAATTTCTAAGCAAAGTGAATATTAATAAAAAAGAACAATAATCAGTAGTGTCTGCTGACAGGAAGTCATGTAATGAGTACCAAGGTCGAAGTTTTAAGGTGTGGCTGAGAAGAAAGGATATACAGTTCTGGTGAATGAATTTTAGACTTTGAATTAAATTATCAAATAAACTTTTAAGCATTTTTTTTTTCATTTAGAAATACCTCATATAACCACATTTTACCACAGCTAGATATGTTTATTCTGTTAATACATTACAGATATATATAGCTGATTTAGGATTAGGGTAACATTTACGCAGATAAATCTGATCAGGCTGAAGATAAAATAGATAGAAAAGAGATCTTTAAAATCACAATGCACAAATAAACAAAAAAAAAGAAAAGTGTTGTACAAATAAAATTGTGGACGTCTCCATGTTAGGGGAAATTCCTCCAATGAATAACATATAGCCCTCGTCAAGAAAAAGGATTGAAACAGAAACTATAAAGAATGAAGTAATTTTTCCTGAATGCAAACATTATTTTTTCTCTTTTTTTAAAACATCAGATTTTTAAAGTGAACTTCAACAGAACCTAATTAAATGTCCAATCATCCACATACACATTATAGAGTACATGAGGTATGATTAACAACTGATGTTGGGAATTTAACATAAAAATAAAAATATGGGCTGTTTTTGAGTTATAAAAGAAAGCTTGTCGTTGTGCCAGCTTACCAGAAAGTTATGAATATATTTAATAACTAGAAATGGGAGCTATAGTTAATTAATAGGTCATTAGAATCTAAGAAAAAACTGATTATTAATGAATAGTTAAAATAATTATAAATGTAATTTGCTTATTCACCAGGGTTATAACCTAGGGTTCTTAGTGTTTTACATAAAGGGGAGTGGTGGCCTAGTAGTTAGGGCATCCTGAGATTGTGAGTTTGATGCCCCACTACCACAGACTACCACTCTGGGTCCCTGAGAAAGACCCTTAACCCAACACAGCTCCCCAGGCGCCACACAATGGTAGCCCACTGCTCCCCCAAGGTGATGGGTTAGATGCAGAGAAGTAATTTCCCTCTGGGATCATTAGAGTATATAAAATAAAAAAATCTAAATAAAAAAATTAAAGGTTGAAGTCCTGGACTGGCTGTTAAGATCTAGTTCTCTTCTCCAATTTAGTAATTTAGACTATGGTATTTAGTATTTAGACTATCAGCAGAGTACTTTATCACCAAACCAAAGAAACCATCTCTGACTCTGACCTGAGTGAATCCCTCCATAAAATAACCACAAAAGACTACTGGTTAAAATTCAATGGTAGCTTAATTAGCTAAAAAAACACACAGCATTATTTCATCTAATAACTAACAAACACTAATGGACATAAGCACAAGTAAATAAAAGGAAACAAAAGGGACAAAATGGGTTCTAAGAGTCTGTTAAAGAGTTTCTGAGGAATATCCAAGTTTTTAGGCTAAATGCATTCAAAGTTTCCTTTAAAATAGTAGCAGATTAATGTGAATAACCCTGAAGCAGAGATATGAAATGGAATCAAAGCTTTTTGTGGAGAAAAGAAAAGTGCTTGTGGAGAAAAAAAGATTTAGAAGTGTAAACTAACAGTTTTTGCCCCATTTTGCTGTTTAATGTGGTTTGAGGTTAAAAACTCTTTAAGTTCCCCGCCTATATTCCATTTGGCTGTTATAACTAACACATAGATAAGTATATTTATTGATAGATTCATATTTGAGTTGTTATTACATTATTTCTTACACCCATGTCTAACTTAAGTTAACTTACGATAAGCATGGACTGACAGCAAGTCTAAGGTTATTTGGGAAATACAGTCTTTATCCAAAGAAAGAGCAGTTATGATGTTGTCCTACAAATATCCAGGATCATCCCTGCAAATAATTCCCATTGATCATAAAAATCCAAGGTTGATGAGATACGTAACCAAATACCATGGCCAACGATTAGACAGCTTTTGTACCTTATTTGTATCTAATTTTATTTTACAAAAATAAATAATATGTTTGGGACATTGATTCTTGAAAACCAGGTCTATCTGACTGTACAGTTGACGAATACAGCTGTGAGTGACTGTTTGTCTTATTATCAGTGTATCAGTTTTTATGAACCTGAGATTCAGAAGATAAAGATCAGGAAATATATGTTGTATAGGTGGAGCTAATAAAAAAAAAAGAAATCCAAAGATGTGAAAAGTTTTTGTAAAATGGAAGAACTGACTCACAATGTTTAATTGCTGGTTGAGGGCTGCAAACCTTTGTGAGGTATGATTGAAGCAGCATTATTTACCCTTGCTCACATTCTAACCATGCATCCATTGAGTGAAGATAATATGTTCTATGTTACGCTACTAAGTAATGGCAGTCTGGATGTATTTAAAAACAACACCATTCAGGTCAATTTTACACTTAGAGAACTTTTATTGTCATTTTGTATACATAGAGTGTATCCAAAACGAAACTTAGTTTAGCACAGCTTTTCAGACAGTAAATTAATATTTCCATTCCATAAATTGCAGCAGTGATCAAATGTAAACAGTGTAGAAAAAAACATGGTGCAAAAAAAACACATTGGTATGGAAGTTCTGAGTATTAATGAATATGGTGCAAATATCCAGAATTTTTGGTTTGATGTTATCAGTATGATGCATGATTTTGAGTTTTCTCAACAGTTCAGCAGTCTGATGACAGTGGGGAAGAAATAACGGGGAAGAAACTGTTTCCTCTCGAGAAGCCCTCTGTTAAAGGGTTGTACATGTGTAAACGCATGTCAGCGATGTGCAACTTCAGCATACCTTGAACACAGAGGAGAGATGATTGCACAGCAACTGATTCATAGACATCTGTTCTGTGGAAAATGTGCCTACTAAAAGTCAATGTTTTTGTGATTTGCATATTATCTGTGTGTGCAAAGACTTCATAAACGTCAGTTTAACTTAAGATGCTCCTTCCATCATCTCAACACTGACAGCTGCTGCCTTTAATCAGTAGATTCTTCCTTTCTCAGTGCTATACTGATTTGTTTTGCATGGTATAAGTTTTTCAAAAATGTTAGGATCTTACAGTCCTGCTTGTTTTTTTTGTTTTTTAATAGGTTCACCCTGTTAAATTATATTGCAAAATATATTTTATTTTTGTTAAATTTCTCGAAAAACTTTCATTTTTTAGCTTTACATCTGTTTTAAAGCCTGTTAAAGGCTGTCAATTTTCAAAAATATTGTCATGATGGGTACTCTGAGAGTGACCCAATTATGCAGAACACCACTGACGGACACAGGAATAAAAGTTCAAAAAGTTTATTTGGACACAAGCACACTGATAATACTGGTTCTGGTTCGGGCCTGGATACTGGTTCACCGGAGTCTGCGTGAGAGACAGTTCAGTTAGCGTTGCACGTTGGAGCTTGCTTTCTTGATTATTACTGATTGTACCTTGAGGGTTCTTGTGGTTAGCTTTGGGAAGGTCACTGTTTGATCTGGAGAGGAGTTGATCAGCAGAGTCCGCTTGCTGCTTCAGCGTCTTACATCTAGTACTGGGCAGACCTTGGCTTTGGGTTTTCCAGCTCTTAGTCCAGAGCTGCATGGAAGTTCACTGAGGTTCTTCAGGTTTGGCTCTGAGGGTCGGCTCGGCAGGTTAGCTCTTCCAGAGCTTCACAGAGGAGAAACTGGTTGCCTGGAAGATAGAGACAACGGTTAGAATCCTGGCTGGATTCAAAGTCACAAAGATTCACTGAGAGTCTAGGCTTAGGCGCTGACCAACTGGATCAACACTGCGGCGTTGAGGCAAGGTCTGAAGACAGCTTATATGGTGGATCCTCTGATGATCTGATGGGCTGCAGCTGTGCAGGAGGCTCACTCAGAAGGATCCACAGCGGACTCTGCTGGAGAAAGGTGGAACTTCTCCAGCTCCCAACAAATATGAAGTTTTAATACAATTTATTGTCCTTTTATTATAAACATAAAACTTTACATCTACTTTATTATATTGAAACTCCCTTGTCAAACCAAACACACCAAGCATATTAGCATATTAGCATTTAATTAAATTAACATTTTGATGTGTAAACCTTTCAGGTATTATCTAATTCATTAATTATCAAACATATTATATTTCATAATTGAGTCACTAGTTGTATGTAAAATTCCTATTTAAAAAAATGTTATCCAAATTCTTCAACATTGTAGATCATAAAAAGTAACAGCATAATTACTTTTACTAGTAACGAGTTACTTTTATTGAGGTGTAACTGAGCTACTTACTCAGTTGCTTTTTTGAAGAAGCAACTAGTAACTAAAACTAGTGACTTTTTAAAAGTAAGGTTCCAAACAACAAAGCTCTCAGAGTTAGAAAGGACATAGAATCTTTATTTAAAAAAAATTAATTGTTACTTTGATTAAAATTATGAATGTAAAGAATTTAATGCTTTTCACTATATTTAAAGATTTAGACTAGTATATTCTATTTTATTGAAAAGGCTGGAAAAATAAACATTTTGTGTATCACATTTGCATAGTTCCTTCTTGGTGGAAAAAGGTCAAACTGTCACAGCTTTATAATGAGAACTACATGAGAAAGTTGACAAGAAAGAAACAAACTGATTATTTGGGTGTTGTATTGTATCTATTATTAATTTATATATATATATATATATATATATATATATATATATATATATATATATATATATATATATATATATATATATATATATATATATATATATATATATATATATATATATATAAAGTGAATAAGTTTTTCTTCACTTGTTATAGCTGTCTAGCACTGAACGAAAGAAAAAGGAAAGAATGGCGGAAGCACCTGCTCACTTTTTCTAGGAAGTCGAATACATTGTGTAAAAGAAAGCAAAGAGGGTGCTGCTGCTTTCCGGTTAACAGCTAATTTTGCTCTCAGAGTTTCTTAATCTTCTCATCGCTCAGGACCAGGAAGACATAGCAGAGAAAAATATTTCCCTCTTCTCTTTGGTTGCTGTTTTTTTTTTTTTACGTTGAGTGGTAAGCTATACAAATTATATATTTTTAGCCAAATTCTTGAGCTTCTAATGTCATGTTCACTCAGTTTGCCGTGTTTTACTGCTGTTATATGCTGTTTTATATATATATATATATATATATATATATATATATATATATATATATATATATATATATATATATATATATATATATATATATATATGTATATATATATATAATGCAGGTAAACAAAAAAGCCATATAGTTATGTTAGATGGTGTTTTCAAATTAAGAATTTGACTTTGGTTTTAGCTGCTCACAGCACCTAGATATTAAATATAAATACACAAACTTAATTAGGATAAAAGTAACAGTATGCACATGTTAGAACATGAACACAGAAGAGAGACGATCGCAGAGATCCACTGATACATACACAGCGTTTCTGTCTACATGCCTAATAGACATGTTTTTGGACTGTGGGAGGAAACCACAGAGAACCCACAAATGCACAGGGAAAAAATGAAAACGCAATGCAAAAAGACCCTCGACCGCAAATCAAACCCAAAACATTCTTGCTGCAAGGCAAGAGTGCTACAAACTACCCACTATTCAGCCTTGGTTTTTAAATGGTTTTCATTTTTTCATGCAAATATCCTGAGATCCAGTCCTGCTACATTTTTTCCTCATATAGTGTAACTCCTATTTAATTCTATAGTATTGTATACAAATCTTTTGTTAAACTGCTTGAAAATTATCTTTTCAGCTTTATACCTGTTTTATAACCAATTGTGTGAAATATATAAAGTTCTAAAAAGAAGCATTTTTTAATTATAAACAAGAAACATCATCACATGTATATAATTATATTGCAACTCATTTGTTAAACCACACACACAAAAATAATGCTGATTAGTTTTCAATGTTTTCAGATAGGTAGACCTTTTAATAAACTATTTAATGCATTAAGTAATTACCTTACATTCCATAATTGGACCTCTAGTGGAATTCTATTCCATTTACACGAAAGTTTAGACTCTTTAACATTTTAAAACATAAAAAGTAACTACGCAGTTACTTAGTCTAGTAATGACTTACTTTCACTGAGCAGTAGCTGAATTGCTAACTCGGTTACCCTTTTGGGGAAGTATCTTGTATATATATAAAGTATAAAAGTATAAAGTTAGGTTAATTTGGTATTAAATTGCCTACCAAATTGGGTTTTGGTGTATGGATGTGTGTGTTCAAGAAAACCAATGCTTGTGAATTTGGCTAATGTTTTAATGTAAGTCCCTTGTGTGGTTATATAACAAGAAAAGCACTATATACCTTTCCTTAATTAACCTATTACTCTTCCATTTACATTTTCTTGTGGGATGTGCTAGCCTATTTATCATGTCACCGGTCCCAAACATTTCAGATTTTTTCAATGTACCAGGTTTTGAGGAGCCAACTAATGATTACTTGATTTATCAAATGTTTTTAAACAGAAAACTTCTAACATGCATTATTCTGGAATTTATTCTGACTTCAGATTTTCCCCGATCTAAAAGCCAAAGTGGCTGTGAATTTTAGATGACTCTTGTAATAAGATGAAAAACTTGAGAAATTAGTATGTTCCTTGTATTGTTTAAAAGCAGGGCAAAGGAAAACAAAAAAACAACAACAATAAATCTGCTTTGCCAACAAAAGACAATCAACACGTGGGTGGTAGTAACAGAGAATATAAAGATGTTCAGTTTCCACCAGTGTGACTGTTTCCACCTCTTTGGTTAGAGTGCATACTAGTTTCTCATTCCCTCGCACCATAGGTCTTCAGTTCAGAGTATTGTTAGACACATTTTCCATAAAACTTTCCACTCTCTTTTTACTCAAAAATGAAACAATGTAAATGGATCTAGTTTGCATTTTGTAAAGCACATGCTCTTACTTATTACAGATAGTTGTGAGCTATTAAACATATAAATATTTATTTCACAGGGGGGATTTAAGAAGATGGAAAAAGGCTCCCAACCACAGGAATCGGCTCCGCCCTATCCTGGTCCTCCCATTAATTATAACTTTGATGGACTTCAGCCAGGGATGTATGCTCAACCAGGCTCCTCTGCTCAACCAAGCTTCCCTGCTCAACCAGGTTTCCCTGCTCAACAAGGTTTCCCCGCTCAACCAGGCTTCCCTGCTCAACCAGGCTTCCCTGCTCAACCAGGCTACCCTGCTCAACCAGGTTTCCCTGCTCAACAAGGTTTCCCCGCTCAACCAGGCTTCCCTGCTCAACCAGGCTTCCCTGCTCAACCAGGCTACCCTGCTAACGCAGGCTACTCCACTCAACCAGGCTTCTCTGCACAACCAGCCTATACCACTCAGCCAGGCTTCCCCCCTCAACAATGTTTTCCACCTCAACAAGGTTACTCCACTCAACCAGGTTACTCTGCTGTCCCTACTGGTATGTCGTCACTTCTTAAATTGCTGAACTGATCTCTGTTTTCCATCTTCCTACAGCCCCATCAGATGGGGCAATGTTGTCCAGTAACATTCTATTGTATGGCAAACATATGCATCAAATCAGTTCCTGTATTTCTCAAAACAGGCGGCTGGACTATATAGTTTAAGTCACACTCACATGGTAACCTGTCATGAAACAGTTTCCATTTGAGTACTCAAAGTGGGTTTCTACATAACTGAAATAAGTCCGGAAGAATGGGACTGTTTGTGGTATTTGAACTTAACAGGAAGCTTTTGGTCTCAGTTTATTTTTGCCACACTTCATGTTTTAACGTCATGGTATGATTATTTGCATAAAAAGCAAATATATTATATCTAAATATCATTTGTGCTTTATTATTAATTTTAAGTCTTTTATGACTTTTTACTTTTAATGCAAATGATATATCTCTAACTACTGGTAAGTTGTTAATTCATTTGGAAAGATTATTTAAATATTTGCTTTTAATTCTTGTATGTTTTGTGTGTTTAAGTGTCTCATCTGGTAGTGGCACCTAGGCTAACTGACGTTCCTGGACCATTTTTGTGTCCTCACTGCCAGCAAACTGGGGTCACTCGCACAGAGCACACAGCGGGGCTGCTGACCTGGGCTACTTGTGCAGGGCTGGCTATTTTTGGGTAAAAACCTCAATATTCTATATCTTAATAGAATCATTTCCACCCTAATTTTATTTTACAAAACAGACAGACAAATAACAAAATCTAATTTCCCACATTCAGGTGCTGGCTATGCTGCTGTTTCCCCTTCTGCATCGATTCCTGTCAAGATGTGGAGCATCGCTGTCAACACTGCCAAAAAGTGGTCTTCATATACAAACGGATGTGAACCCAATCTGGAATGGGTCCAAAAAAGGCCCAGATTAATAGATTAAATGATAAATACATTTTTGATTACATTATAACAGCCTTGGGCCAGCCCACTAATGGGTTTTGGAGGGAATTAAATTTAATTTCCAATTTCAATTCCATTTGAAAATATGCTTTGTAAATTCAGTTAAATATAAACTGTACTGCTTCACGTGGTCAAGCATTTCAAAGACTTTGTGAGGAAACATTGTTTTCAGTCTCAATATATATATAAAAAAGTTTGTTTGCGTTCAGTTTTATTATCACATATTTAATGGAGGAAATGGATTTCATTTTTTTGTCATACTGATGAACACAAACGAACATGTTGTTTTTTTGCTGACCTGTGATGCTCTGATTCAGCAGGGTCCACTTTATTACGGTACTCTGACCTCCTGGAGCCTCATGTGCCTTCTTGATTTCTTAGATCTAATGTTTGTTTTTGTTTAGTCCTTCTGAGGTAAGAGCTGCTCCACAAAGGGGAGGGGACATATACCGGTAACTTGTAGCTGTCAAATCTAAACTAGCCCCAACTCTTTAAAAAAAGTTGTGACTGTATGTTACAGCCAACTTACAGTAGGATTGAGTGTTGAGCAAATTACAAACAAACAGGCTGAGGCAAAACGATAAGTTGAGGCTTACATCATTGTTTGGGGTTGAGTTTTGAGATGGTGTGTCCAGTCCTCCCCCTCTGAGTGCATCAGCTGTTACCAGCAGCTGTTGAGGCTGCTGGTAACAGGAAATGAGCAGAGGCCATGCCCTGCTCATTTCCTGTTCCCCTCCCCCTAGTAGGCTGTGCAGGAGCAAATATAGAGGGCGAGGCCAGGGGGACCATGGCCATCCAAGTCAATCACAGACAACCCCTGTGTAATTTGTTGATCCAATGTGGATGTAATTCAATGCCTCTAGAATAAGCAGTTCTCCTCTAAACCAGAGGGTGGCAGCAGAGACACCATTATGTGAAATGTCCTACTTTGACATTCTACCTGACTACAGGTAATAAATGTAACTAGAATTTTCTGATGTACAAATAAAATCCCAAGCGGGAACCTTTGTTATTGCTGTTTTTTTATATACCCCTAAATATGAGGCACAAGCAGCATCACAGGTTTTGGTCTCCTGGGGTTATTCAAGCTTAAAAATGACCATGGCCTGAACCAAATAGGGGTTCTGCAGCGAGGTGAACTTACTGAATACGGTACGTTATAATAAGCATTATATATCTGAACAGTGCAGGCAGTTACGAAAGTGCTGGACTGGCTTTACAAGAAGAAACAGCCTTTTTTTTTATGTTAAATGTCTTTTTAAATGTTTCTATTGTACTAAATGCTGCACATTGAATTGCAATCTTTAAGCTCCTAAGGGCAATACTTTATGTAGAGCTGAACTCTCATCATTCTATCAGTAATAGAAATTAAACTTCTTTTTTTTCTGTTTAGGGGCAACATTGTATGCCTTGTTGCTATATATAGTTTGGAACTTCATTTGGCGGAAGGAATTGTGCTATAACATATGTAGATGTACTGTTCAAACTTCTATAGAAGTAGTTTTTCCACAGAAATTGTGTAAAAGATCAGGGATAAAAAAAAAAAAAGGTAATAGAAGCTTTTAACCAATCCGATGGTTGAATAAACTAAGTAACTGGACAATAAACATTGCTTGTATAATTATTTATTCAATATCTAGAAAGAAAAAGGGGTTTTGTGTTTTAGTTGGTTGATTTTATGGTTTTCGATTAAAATGTGAGTCATTTTGATGAACTGATTACTGACACCGTAATTAATTTGATTAAAAAAAATTATAATTGAGTTTATTTGAGTGAATTTTAGTATAAACCAAAAACCGACAACAAAAATGCAGCAAAAAAATGACAAATACAGAATTCTTGGTCTTTTACAATTTTATTTTGTTTTTCATTGGGGAGAGTTTGTGTCTGGAAGTATTCTGTATAATTAAAAATTAAGCAAAACTGCTCAACCATTTGAATTTAAATATTACACAGAACCATAAATTAATCTAAAGAGCATTGATTTATAAATATGTGTATAGATTTATTGCAAGGGCCTGGTCTGTCTTTGATTTATTTGAAAAATATGGATGAGCGCATTAATATTACTAACGGTTTATCCTTAAAAGGATTTTGGAACATATTAGTTCTCAACCACCCCTAGGGCTGAGCATGTACAGGTGCTGGTCATAAAATTAGAATATCATGAAAAAGTAGATTGATTTCAGTAATTCCATTTAAAAAGTGAAACTTGTATATTATATTCATACATTACATACAAACTCATATATTTCAGATGTTTATTTTGTTTAATTTTGATGATTACAAATGACAACAAATGAAAATCTCAAATTCATCATATCAGAAAATTAGAATATTGTGAAAAGGTTCAAAATTGATGGCCCCTGGTGCCACACTCTAATCAGCTAATTCACTCAAACCACCTGCAAAAGCCTTTAAATGGTCTTTCAGTCTAGTTCTATAGGCTACACAATCATGGGGAAGACTGCTGACTTGACAGTTGTCCAAAAGACGACCATCGACACCTTGCACAAGGAGGGCAAGACACAAAAGGTCATCGCTAAAGAGGCTGGCTGTTCACAGAGCTCAGTGTCCAAGCACATTAATAGAGAGGCGAAGGGAAGGAAAAGATGTGGTCGAAAAAAGTGTACAAGCAAGAGAGATAACCGCACCCTGGAGAGGATTGTGAAACAAAACCCATTCAAAAATGTGGGGGAGATTCACAAAGAGTGGACTGCAGCTGGAGTGAGTGCTGCAAGAACCACCACACACAGACGTATGAAAGACATGGGTTTCTGCTGTCGCATTCCTTGTGTCAAGCCACTCTTGAACCACAGACAGCGTCAGAAGCGTCTTGCCTGGGCTAAAGAGAAACAGGACTGGACTGCTGGTGAGTGGTCCAAAGTCATGTTCTCTGATGAAAGTAAATTTTGCATTTCCTTTGGAAATCAAGGTCCCAGAGTCTGGAGGAAAAGAAGAGAGGCACTTCATCCACGTTGCTTGAAGTCCAGTGTAAAGTTTCCACAGTCAGTGATGGTTTGGGGTGCCATGTCATCTGCTGGTGTTGGTCCATTGTGTTTTCTGAGGTCCAGGGTCAACGCAGCCACATACCAGGAAGTTTTAGAGCACTTCATGCTTCCTGCAGCTGACCAACTTTTTGGAGATGCAGATTTCATTTTCCAACAGGACTTGGCACCTGCACACAGTGCCAAAGCTACCAGTACCTGGTTGAAGGACCATGGTATCCCTGTTCTTAATTGGCCAGCAAACTCTCCTGACCTTAACCCCATAGAAAATCTATGGGGTATTGTGAAGAAGAAGATGCAATACACCAGACCCAACAATTCAGAAGAGCTAAAAGCCACTATTAGAGCAACCTGGGCTATCATAACACCTGAGCAGTGCCACAGACTGATCGACTCCATGCCACGCCGCATTGCTGCAGTAATACAGGCCAAAGGAGGCCCAACTAAATACTGAGTGCTGTACATGCTCATACTTTTCATGTTCATACTTTTCAGTTGGCCAACATTTCTATAAATCCTTTGTTTTTATTGGTCTTCAGTAATATTCTAATTTTCTGATATGATGACCTTTTGTGTATTGCCCTCCTTGTGCAAGGTGTCGATGGTCGTCTTTTGGACAACTGTCAAGTCAGCAGTCTTCCCCATGATTGTGTAGCCTATAGAACTAGACTGAAAGACCATTTAAAGGCTTTTGCAGGTGGTTTGAGTTAATTAGCTGATTAGAGTGTGGCACCAGGGGCCATCAATTTTGAACCTTTTCACAATATTCTAATTTTCTGATATGATGAATTTGAGATTTTCATTTGTTGTCATTTGTAATCATCAAAATTAAACAAAATAAACATCTGAAATATATGAGTTTGTATGTAATGTATGAATATAATATACAAGTTTCACTTTTTAAATGGAATTACTGAAATCAATCTACTTTTTCATGATATTCTAATTTTATGACCAGCACCTGTACTGTAGGATATTTTCAATTGTCAGCTTCTGCTCAAACTATACAATCAAGTTAACAGCTCATGATGTATGTTCTTACACTGATGCGATCTACACTGCATTTCCAAAAGCCACATGTTGGACTCAGTGCCGAGAGATGGCAATGGCTTCCTTCCAGTTTGACTCATCAATCTGTAAGGAAGAAGAAGAAGAATTCCCTTGTTTGCAGATGAGCAGTGCGTGAGGTTCTCGTAAACTGACTCGTAGACGCTCATAGCTCTGCTTCAACGGCAGGACTGTTCCCTGAACACCGTATGAGGGCCAACTGAAGTTCAAACATATTTAAACTTTTTCCAAAACCTTACAATTCATGATCAGGAGGTAGTCATGAGAGCCTGATTGCCCCTCGTTATCCCTGTATACTACATGACGCAGGACTCACCATGAGGCTGGAACTCAGCCCGATCGAAAAAATTCTCACGGGACTGGAGAATCGGCCCGAAAAGGGCAAAAAAAAATCATACAGTGTATGACCTGCCTAAGTCAGCATTGGACCGTGCATGGCCACCCCTCTGAAACATACCTGGAAATGCCACTCAGGCCTTGGATCAAATCCTTGGCTCATGATTAGGCTGTGCAATGCTGTACTTCATGCTCACGTGAACAGGAACACTCTGCCCTCTCGTCCTAATTTGTGACACTTCTTGGAGGTTGGGTTGCATATTGTGAATGGCAACACATGATTACATTTTGGTGATGATCCAGGTCACCATCTGGATCCAGGAATTTTTTGACAGACTCTGTGAATACGGGCAGAAATCACAATAAGGTGGAAGTCACAATATGTCGGGAGAAATTAGCTACTTGGCAGAGGTCTGCTCTCTCTGAATGTTTTTTTAGTTGTATTATTGAACAATTTAGTTTTTTTTTTTGTGGAATAACAACATCTGTCTTTGGTTAATAACCAAATTTTTTCTTAGGAATAGGTCGCATTTGTGAATCTCTGAATGTAATTTTTTTGGTAATAACATTCCCCCCCGAGTGCTGTGCAGCAACAGACTTTTGTTTTTAGTGTGTAGATTTTAAGGGCTCAGTGGTACCTTAAAGTCTTTGGTAACAGGGGTAGAGGGCAGGATGGCATAATTAGTCGCACATTAGATTTAGTGCCACCCCCTCCACCTAGTACCAGGAGCAAGTGGATAAAGGTTAGAGTAAAAAGAAAAACATCATGCTGGCATTGCACATGTGCACAGTTGAGATTATCGTACTCCAAAGATCCACATGGACGCTAGTCGGACTGTGATCATCA